GATCAACTGCATTATCTGTGCCAAGTTTGCAGAATAGATTTCTCAAAGTGCAGAAGACATTCACATAATTCTACCAAATATGCAAGGTTATCAAATTAAAATGTAGCAGCAGAAGCAGCTTTTAAAACAGATAAAATATGCCACTACACTTAGGTAATTACATTCACACTGTGTGCTCCACACAATCTTACTGTCCAGTGCTGTTGCTTCTCTGGCGGCAGCAAGTTTCACAACAGTTCAATTACATTTTACATTTTTCTCTGCCTTAGCACACTGATAGATAGTTCTTAAAACATACTTGGTCAATGATCATGTGTCAAAATCATTCTTTAACACACATTGGAAGGAACATACAGTGCCAACAAATGCAATTACGGAGTCTTACTGAACAATTGTTGATGCATTAGAAAGTATAGCTGAATATCAATCACAAATAGGAGAAAATATACAAGAGGCAGATTACAAATACAATGCAATCATCAGTTTGTATTCACATTGCCCATGTAGAATGCAATTTTACAATACTTTCACAGTTCAAATCAAATTCTCCAAGAGAGAAAATTGGAGTTGAATACACGTGCAGACCTGTGCCAATCATTAACAGTCTACTTTTAGATTTTGAAGAATGATTTCATGAGATATGAAAACTCAAACAATTACCTTACCCATTACTAACTACAGTAAGAACTCGGTAATCTGAATTCTAGTAACTCAAATCTTTGGGTAATCCGAATATATTCAAGTTCGAGTTTTTGACTGCTCAACTTCAATAAAAATAAATTCTGGTTACCGAGATTTCTGGTGAACAAAAGCCTGAATAATTTTTTTTTCATTTCTGGACTTTCCAGGTAAAAATTCGGGTAACTCAAATGTCCAGCAAACTTGAATGGCAGTGGACCTCATATAAGTTGGATTATAAGGATAGACAGTACAAAGAACCTCAAGTCCTGCAAGCAAACCTGGAAAAAAACTTGTAAATGATAGTTGTGCATCAGAAATAGCAAAGAGTCTTAATTGACAAAATTAATGTATCTACTTAGTTTATATGCTACAGTCTCCATGGTGTAGTGGTAAGACACTCGCCTGGCGTTCCGCGAGCGCTATGTCATGGGTTCGTATCCTGGCCGGGGAGGATTTACTGGGCGCAATTCCTTAACTGTAGCCTCTGTTTAATGCAACAGTAAAATGTGTACTTGGATGAAAAAACGATTCTTCGCGGCAGGGGATCATATTCCACTAGTACGCTACGCGTACTAGTGGCTGTACAAGAATGTAACAACTCTTGTATATATCTCAAAAAAACTTATACACTTTAGGTGCATGTGAAGAGAATTTTGCAGTTGCAAAATCAAGAAAGCTACAATATTTTAATTTCAGCATATGGTACATGCAAATTTTGAGTCTTTTGAAATATATAAATTTATTTCTCCCTGCAACCAGAGGCAAACTATATATTCACCTAGATGGTGAATACTGCAGGGGTTGAGCTCTACTCTTTCGGCCCACCTTTCAACTGTCAATCAATCAACTGTTACTAACTACTAATTATTATTATTATTTTTTTCACACCTCCCCCCCCTCCAGGAAGCAGCCCGTAGCAGCTGTCTAACTCCCAGGTAACTATTTATTGCTAGGTAACAGGGGCATCAGATTATTGTTGTTGTTGTTCAAGATTCGCTACTTGGAATAAAAAGTTCCAAGTAGCACGGGCTATGGTGAGCCCGGAAGAGCATCAGGGTGAAGGAAACCCTGATCTTTTTTTCCGCCGGCTGCCGGGATCGAACCCCCTAGGTCCACAAGTTTAGAGCGCTGTCTACTCAGCCAGCCAGCCAGCCCCTTTCCTACAGTTGTGGACAGAAAGCCTGTTAGGCTTATCGAGGTCCACCTAGGCCAACTGCTGATGTCCTTTCCAGGGTGAAACCCACACTACTTTACCTATTTACTGCTAGGTCAACAAAGGCATCCGGTGAAAGTAAATGTGCCATTCTCGGTTGTGAGCCAAGGACATAGACCACTGTGCTACAAGAGGAACGGCAGAATGACTGAAAGACATGATTAAAGTGGGGAAATTGAGATACTGGGAAAATGGTCAATATTAATATGTGTCATTATTAACTCTTTAGTGTTCTGATGAAGCTAAAAATGCATACTTCGACAGTAGACGTTCTGATGACACTAAAACCAATCACCCATACCCCGACAATAGACATTCTGATGACACTAAAACCAATCACCCATACCCCGACAATAGACATTCTGATGACACTAAAACCAATCACCCATATCCCAACAGTAGATGCTCTGATGACACTAAAACCCATCACCCATACCCCGACAGTAGATGCTCTGATGACACTAAAACCCATCACCCATACTCCGACAGTAGACTCTGCTGACACTAAAACCCATAACCCATACCCCCAGCTGTAGACGCTCTGATGACACTAAAATTCATCACCCATTTTCCGACAGTTAACACACTGATGATGCTAAAAGGAATCATTCATCTTGAAAGTCCCAAAAATCGTTTTAATTTTTGGATCACAGTGTGGACATAGCTTACCTGGGTACCAACCAAAGCATCAGCGGACTATCTAGAGATCACCTCAGTTAACTATCAGTCACTCAAAGCAATAATTGCTCTGCATGTGAGAATATTTACTATGCTTAGCAAATTGCCTGTCAGAAAAGTAATGAAAATTATGTTTGCTGTCTTTATATAATAATAGGCTTACAATGTGTGAACATATCCTGTTTTTTTATGTTAAAAAATGAATGAAGAATGTTGAGAAACATATGAGGAATGAAAGGAATGTTGAAATGTTAACAAAAATGTATATATTCAACACCCTCACACAAATTCTATTATCAAATCACACATTATTCTCCCTCTATACTCTAGCAAATCCATTTGTGAACATTTAAATGCAACATTTATAATAACCAAAAAGCTAAGAAAATGTTGAGAATGAATAAACATTTTAGGAGTCACTGAGTGGGACCCTAAGATGTTTGGAACATTCACGATTGGGAGCACACTAACAGATTGAAATGTTAAAGGTGTCGAGAAAATGCAGATGACAACCAGTGAGCTAGCACAGCTACCAAGCAACAAACATCAATAGGCATGGAACACCTTTTTATCTATGCTTAACATGTGCAATTTGTTGTTGGTCATAATGAAGATACTATGAAAATAAGAAAATAAGCTACACACATTTTAGTTTCGATCATTTATATTGTATCCCACTGCCCATCCTGTGAGCAAAGTGGAAAGGTTACACAGGCACATAAAGGGCTAAGCAACGAAACCCCATAATTCGTTTAGCTCAGCAAATTACACCACTAGACACAGCTGATGATATTTGATACTACTGTAACAGATTTATCTAATAGTTAATAAAGTTGTCATTCATTTGTCATACAATGTAAGGCAATGTTTTTCCAAACTTGCAAAATATAAGTATTTATTTTTATAATCAGATGTATATTTATCCATAATACGTACAGTACTGCATATGGGTCTAAAAGGTAAACTTTGGTTAAATAAATGTCTCGTAAAGAAACAAAAGAAGCTTAGTTCAACATATATATATTTTACTGTATAAACCAGGCATGTCAACCTGAGGGTCCCCAAGGGCCATATGGGTCACATTTGTGTTGTCATTAAGGCGATACACGACAACTTATTGAAGTCATTTAATAAAATTTATTGTAGAATGCTTGTATTACTTAAACCTTGAAACGTACAATGTGTACACAATTGGTTTAGCGGCTAGCCACATTCATAAATGCAAAGTAATTAAGTAGTTTAACAAAAGATTTTTTTTTTTAAATGGCAACATAAACTTCTATACAACAGTAACAAAATACATTGTACAAAAATTACAACAGTTCAAAATAAACATTTATTTACGACTAGTCAATCTGTTTTAGTGTTTTGTCCTGAGGCTTGACACCTCTTTTTAATGACAATTTTTGCTGTCTGGCTGAAATGTCTGTGCAGTTCCCACTTTGATCAGAAATGACAAGTGTTGATCAGTCAGCCTTGTTCTCTAAAACGTTTTTTTTTATTTCATGAAGGAAAATAACTGTTTACACACATAGGCAGAACCGAATATTGCCATAATCCTTGTGGCAAACTTTCTGAACTTTTTAAACTGAAATTTTCAGGAAGGTATGAAAAGAAACCAGGTATTCCCACTTCAAGATACTTTGCTCCGAGTGCAGAATCTGACTGCATTTCTAATAGTTCTATCTGCAAGCTTTCTTCTGCCTAGGCAACATCAAAGGTTTAGATAGTTTAAATTATAAAAACTACAATGTTGGCCATTAAATGGTCAAATTACAGTGTCCTTTGTGTAGGCCTCAGGTGTAGTTGCAAAGGGCCGCATGTTTGACATGCCTGCTATAAACTGTAATGTACATTTATCATTCAAATGGATTCTTCATTGAACAGATAAAATTAGATTTGAATGAATAGAGATAAAAATTTGCCTTTCTAGCTATCATTAATAAAGTACAATTTTCTCATTCATTATTTATTTTCCTTGAGAATCTGTATTCTCTATTGTAAAACCAAGGCACAATGTCCTTCACACAGCAGTGACTTCCTTGCACAGCTACACATACAATTATCCTCTACTTAAAGTAGTGAGAATACTACAGTATATTCTCTCTTTGAAGAATTTTGAAAGGTTTTCCAAGGAATATCATAAGATGATTGAGCTGCCACACAAGTAAGGCACTCGCCACTTTTTTCAACACAAGAAACCCTGTACTGAAAGACTAAAAAGTGTACAAGTCCACACAAGTGAGAGAGTAGAGGCAACAATGCTTTATAAATGTACCCACCAAAAATAATCAATAATTATAAAAGGTGTACATCAGCCCCTCATTAGGCATTAATAATACTGTATGTCACCATAAGATAAAGATACTTAGGAAAATTATACAGCAATATGAATTATCGAGAAAAACAGGAAAATAAAAGAACTGCATTTTTATAGTTAATTATTGCAGATGAATATATAATTTATTACAGCATCTTAATTTCATAATTTATTAACATAGCTAAATGTTAAAATATTAGCATTACTATATATTATAACTTTTATTCTGTATAAAAATAGCATATAAGGAATGTCTTGGTGCACAGCAAGAGTTAACTAGAACTCTCACAGCTGCATTATAGAATCTTTCCTTAACATATTAGTGCCATGAATGATTATACTGTGCAACATTAGAATAACCACGATTAATTAATGCAAGTGTTTATGATTTAGTCTTGAACTGAACAAGGAACATTCTCATCTCCACCTCACTTAACTGCCACGGTAAGTACTGTAACCATACGGGCTAATGAGAAGAGGGATGTGGTAATGTTCTTCAGGCTTCTCGATAACAAACACAATCTGCATGAAAAATAGAAAAAAAGAGAGGCCCTCAAGATCCAAAAAATATCTGGGTAAATACTGTACTGGTTATAAAATGTGAGTGCTGGATTATTTCATGCACAAACTAGACATAGATATATGACTGAGTTTGGGTGGATATCAATAGGATACTGCCTCGTGTGTGTAAATAAGGCTTCTGCAGCCCACTATTCTTATGTTGTTATGTTCTTAACCCCAGATATCTGTGTACAATAACTTCTGGAATAAAATATCCATAAAATATGAGTCGGCTCATACATGAATAATTCCAGTTCCTGTACACATCAAAGATTGCCAGTACAGAATGCAAAACAAACACTATGATTTTACCAATGCACTTGAAGCTTATATGGAAGAACAATATATTTATATACATAAACTGTATATACAGGAATTACTTTGCATAAAACATACTAGTAAACTAAAACTGTGTGTAAAGATAAGGTTAAAGGTGTAAAATATGGTTTTGCTTTTTATATATATATAAAAAAAAATACTGAAGATAATAAAATGCCTCTTTCTGGTGGCTCCTTGGTGGCTCCTTGGTGGCTCCTTGGTGGCTCCTTGGTGGCTGCTTGGTGTTAGCTACCTGAACAGCCTCACCCAATTCAATCCACACTTGTCCTGTATTAGTGTAAGCCTATTGGGGACCAGAAGCAAAAACCTGGTACCCCTGCTGGAAAGAGGCACAAGGAATAATGGACCCTACATCACCCTAACCAAGAAAAGGCTACCAGATAAGTGGGCAAACCAAAACATATGACCAACAAGGTAAACAAATCATAGAAAATGAGATAATGATCCTCCAAAATGAGCAAAGATAGCAAACTGCACAGCCCGTCCTTCAAAGACCCAAAAGTGATTCCATGCACCCGCCAAACCCCGTTTATGAATGAAAAACGGTTTACACATGACTCAACTGTTGACATCCGAACACTTCCGGAACAAGTGCTTCACCGACGAATTTTGCTCGCACCACAACACTGTAAATGCTTCACCCACGTACCACAAATACAAATAATCGCCAACAGAACCTAAACACCTAACCTAACCAAACCTATGCCTATATATGCACAATATGCTAATATAATATTAATTCATATTTGAGAAAATTTCTGTTTTGAATGAACAGCATGTAAAAATTTATGAATACGTCTGTGGGGTCAACTGCTGGATGTAATGGACTTGAGTCAAGAATGGGTTGAACTACATGAAGCAGTTCTCTTGTTAAATACCAACTTATTTTCCTCACTCTCAAGTGTACTGTGTACCGATGAACACAGTACATTGTCTCAAGCCCCCCTGCCTTTACCCCTCTCCCCCAGTTGAGACAATGAACCAGGGGGAGACAGTTTAAATGGAGCTGGACTACGGAGCCTGGAGGAAAACCAAACCCTCTGCAGTGCAAACCACACAGCCACACTCTTCCGCCGAATACTGTGAGCCCAATGAAGACGAAAATACCATGGCCCCTGACTGGTCTAGTGAACACTAGATACGAAGAGTCAACGAAGACCGGAGGCAACCAGGAAGACATCAAGCAAAGGCGGAGGATTCACCAGGGAATCAAACTCCAAGAATCCCAGACGACTAAACCGGCGACACAACAGCCAGAGAAGAGCTACTGGAGTCTGTGCCCAGCAGTCACAATTGCAAAATAGCCTCCGAAGTCAAAACCTGTTCGAAGGAAGCACAAGGAAGACAAAGTTGAGGCTTCTGCACAGCTGCTCATGCAACCACCGAGTTACCTGGCAACTGCTCAAGACCAAAAGAAGACAGGGCTGCAATCAGGGAAAGCTCTTGGAGGCAGGGCCAGCAAAGCTGACCATGAGCCCCAAACGAGACCTAGTCAAGTCCAAAATTGGGCCTGAACCAATGGAACTTTCCCCAGTCCACCAGGAACCCCATGAAGAAACAGAAACCATGGCCAGCAGACACATGAACACACGGTCATTGAGGTTATCTTGAGGTTATCTTGAGATGATTTCGGGGCTTTTTAGTGTCCCCGCGGCCCGGTCCTCGACCAGGCCTCCACCCCCAGGAAGCAGCCCGTGACGGCTGACTAACACCCAGGTACCTATTTTACTGCTAGGTATCAGGGGCATAGGGTGAAAGAAACTCTGCCCACTGTTTCTCGCCGGCGCCCGGGATTGAACCCAGGACCACAGGATCACAAGTCCAGCGTGCTGTCCGCTCGGCCGACCGGCTCCAAGGTTGGGCAGGATCCAAACACCAAGAAAACAAGGATGGGCCATGAAGACCTGAACCAAATGCGAACAATGTGAGGTGAGGCTACACAGGAGGACTTGAAAACAGGAACCTGTCATTCCATGGGGGAGCCGGTCGGCCAAGCGGACAGCACGCTGGACTTGTGATCCTGTGGTCCCGGGTTCGATCCCGGGGGCCGGCGAGAAACAATGGGCAGAGTTTCTTTCACCCTATGCCCCTGTTACCTAGCTGTAAAATAGGTACCTGGGTGTTAGTCAGCTGTCACAGGCTGCTTCCTGGGGGTGAAGGCCTGGTCGAGGACCGGGCCGCGGGGACACTAAAAAGCCCCGAAATCTCTCAAGATAACCTCAAGAACCTCTATGACAAAGCTAACCAATTCCTGAACCCCAGACATAAAAAGTGCACCAAAATGCATCCAGGAGGTCCAGAGAAGCAACAAACGTTTGACTTGAAGATGAGACAGACCAGAAACAACTGGGTCATCCGAGAGGAGGGACAAGGAAGGCACCAGTTCAACCCAGACAGAGCGAGGAAGAACTGGACACCTGGAGAATCCGAAGCAGGACCGGAAAAGGTAGAGCCAACCGAAGAAAACTGGCTGGAACGACCACTCTTGAACACCCAATTCAAGATAACCTGACAAAGACGATAAGAGTTGATAACCCAGTTGATAAAACCCTATGAAAAAAGAGAGGGGACCAACCAACCCCATTGATAGTTGCATGAAGTGACCCAAAAAGCCCACAAACTGTGGAACCAGGCAATGGAAAACCCCACAAGACACCCCCCCCCCCTATCGCCCTGCCAAGTGGTGAATCATAAAAAGAGCTGGCTAACGCTAATCCCTCCAATCCGGAAATCTGAAGAGGAGCATAGCGCAGACCAGATGAAGAACTGGTCTAAGGAAGCAACAGAAGCCTAGCCACTGGCTCCAAAACTGGCCCACCCCAACCAAAACAGGTGATGCCCTTAGCCCTATCTAACCGCCACAAACATGAGGAAGACCTCGTACCATAACCTTCTCCTGAAACCAAAACGGAGAAAAAGAAGAGGCGGAAAGAAGAGCAAGGGTTCACACCGAAACTAAGATTTCAGCACAGCCTGCTGACATGGGAGCTAGGAGGCAAAATTGCAACCACTGCCTCCCGAAGGACAGGGGCATAAAACAAGAGCCACTGATAGCATCACAGTGGAGACAAAAATCCCAGCAAGATGAGCACCACTGAGAGCCCCAATGACTACCGAGAGTAAGGCCAAATGCAGCTCCAGCTATTTCATTTGATTTATCTTTTTTTTCTATAGAAAATAAAAAATAAAGGGGTATCTACCAGCCAGGATGACTATGGAACCTCATAACGCGTTCAACCATGACTGAGGAAAAATCCGGGTTTCACAGGATTTGCACAGGTTGCACAGAGAACCTCCCGAGCCTCTACCAGGAAAGGCGGGATGCCAGAAACCTCCGAAAATATGAAACCGAGAAACTGAAGGGCACCCAGAAACAAACCATAGGGAGACCCACAAACATAACCCATACAGGAGGTGGGAAAATGAATTCCCCATATGCTGCACAGAAGACCCTCCACAGAAGGAAGATGCATCCATGAAGGATTAAATGGGACCCAATTACTCATGGCTGATTTCCCCCAAGCTCTGGTAATCACAACTAAGGGGCCCCAGGGCAGAGCCATGATCCATGCCTAATGCCCAGCATAGAGAAGAGGATTCCAAGGGAAAAGCTTAAAAGGTTAGGGTTGGCTAAAAAGAAAGACTCAACAGGATAATCAGGGTCAACTACCTCTAAGCCCAAGGTGAAGGAGCAAATCCCTACAGCTGATCAAGCCACATCCTGAGATAAACCGAGCCCCTGACCCAAAACCCTCAGATGCATCAGGGCCAGAAACAAGGGGGGGTAAGAAGTGGGAGTGCGCACCACACCTGAAGGGAAAGGAGGAGGAAGTATGGATATAACCACAATTTTATTAACCAACACTTACAATTCCAAAACACTAAACACCAACGGGACATCAAACCGTGCACACAACACAGACTGACATAAAACAGAAAATCCCAAGCATAAAGATGCCTGCCTGAAAACCCAGATCATCATCGGGTTTGTTAAACGAGCAAAATGTAGAGAACGAGTTCCACATGATTCAAGGTTTTAGATGTCACTGACCCAGCAGGCAGAAAGGCAGCGGTAGAAAGGTATGAGCATCGCCATGTGGCACAGACGATGCATAACTCTTGAACTCGCTCAAGGCAAGTGCAGGTTCAGCTGACATATCCAATGGACCACCTAGCACCCATGGGCTCTCCAGGGTCTTTTTCTTCTTCTTCACAATAAGTGCAGTTTGCATGAAGGTGTATCCTCCGGATGACTGCACGAGTGGTGATGTAGAAAGATGCAGATGCTACAATGCACAGCAGCACATAAACGGTCACGATGTGACAGAGCTGGGAAGATAACAACACCGTCCATGTGGGTGAAGATAAAGGCAAAAGAAACAAACAAGAGGAAAGGGATGCAGAATGGGAATAATGAGGAGAACAGAAGACGAACGCAAAGCATCACCACATTAATGAAAGCGAGGGATGTAGGCAAGAGATGGAGGATGGGAGGCGAAGGATGTGTAGGAGGCAGGTGCGAAGCAGACATGAGAAAGTAAGGGAGGTGCGAGCAAAGGTGCAAGGGGTCAATGTGTAGAAGGTCAGAGGAAGTCAGGACGGGACAGGTGAGGTTAGGACAGGGCAAGGTACGTACACGGAATCCGGGACAGGTGAGGTTAGGACAGGGCAAGGTACGTAGATGGAATCCGGAGCCTTACGATTGGGATGCAAATGCCTCGGTCTTCGTAGAAGCCCCAGCAGAACAACGGGAGGAAGACCTAGGAGAGGCACGAGGACAAGTCATGGGAGAGTGTGGTTTATGGGGCTCATCAGGCAAGGTAGCAGGATGCTTGGAAGTCGGGACGATGGAGGATTGCTTCCTCTTAATTCCGGGGGTAGAAATTTGTGGCAAGGCAACCTGGGGAAAGACATGGGGAAGGCGCTCCAATAAGTTCTGAAAGGCGTTGTCCAGCATCATTTCAAACACATTGGAGATAACAGAGGCAGCTGTGGTAGGATGGACGTCAACCATAGGATAAGTGGAGGAGGGATGCATCTGGTCAGCCTCAGGAACGGGGAGGATGGACAATGGAAAGAATTTAGTGAGGAGTCGGACCAGCGCCTTCTCGAGGGCCTCCACAATGCAAGTGACAATAATGTCAACAAGATCGGGACTCAGTTGTACGATGTGTGGGAGAGAAGAGGTCTCAGGGGTGAGAGGAACATAATTAACAGACAGGTCAGGCACAGGCAAAGGTGGCGGCAGAGTGGGAGGCAGAGGGTGATGAGGAACCAGGCAGGACGAAGCAAAGCACAACTGGAAGGCAGGGTGACGGTGGGGAGAGTCTTAGTAAGTGCCGCTACATAGGAAGGACATTGCTTGAACGTGATGGCATGATCACCACCACAGTTGGGGCAGCAGAGCATATCGGACACACAGTCACGAGTATAATGGGAACCAGAGCATTTGCCACATTTGACGTCATTGGTGCAGCCTTGTGAGGTATAGTGAAAACCTTTACAACAAAAGCACTGAATGGGACGGGGGGATGTATACATCCAATTTATGGAGGAAGCCATTAATCCAAACCCAATCAGGGGAAAAGGAGTCAAGAAAAGTAAGGAGGGCAGTACTGGAATCACACAGTTCACCATTAGTCCTACACAGTGGTCCTACCTACACACCATTAGTCACAGGTCACCTATCCCAAGTTCTTTCCCAAGAGGCAGACAAGAGGAGCTCCAGCATATTTCAATAATCCTAAGTATTGTAGTACAGGATGATGATAGTGAGTGGTGTCCCAGAGAACATAAAGGTATATTGCTTTTGAAAAATAGGTGAGATAACAGGAATGTGCCAAGGGAAGTGAAATAGTGGATGAGAAAAAGTTACCCCTAGTGTTTACAGTGCAGAGAACAACATTCAAGATGGCCGCCTGCAAGAGGAAATACAAAACAGAGCTTGATTTTGCTGGATTCAGTGAAGAAAGCATTGAGATAACCAGTCTATACAACAAGGTGGTAAAATTAGATACTATTGTGACCTCTCATGTAGAAATAATTAGTAAATTGAAAGAAAGTAATGACCATTTAAATAGCAAAGTTGTATGTCTTGAGGGTGTAGTGAAAGACTTGCACAAGGATAAGATTCAATTGGAAACTAATTGCAAAGCCATGGAAGAAGAAAATAGACTCTTAAAAATAGCTTTGGAAGAAGTTAAAGTAAATTTAAACATAAATAACTACAATAGGTTAGGTAAGAAATTTCAACAGGAGAAACAGCTTTTGTCAGCACAGATGGAGGAAGTTACACAGGGAATAGAACAGTGCAAGAAAGATATGCAACTCACTTATGCACAAGTGGCCAAGGAGAAGGAAAAAATAGAAGAAGCAGTAAAGGAAGTCAAACACTGCAGCAACCAAGATAAAACAAACATTAGGCTAGAAGTGAGGAAAGAATTGGCATCTAACCCGAAGTTGGTGCAAAACATAGTTGATCAGAGTAAGTCCCTGATCATTTTTGGCTGCAAGGAAAAGGAGATAACATCTAGGTCAGAAAGAGCTGTAGAAGAAGAAAAAGTAGTAGATAAAATTGTTGGCCTCGTGGAAGGTCTTACAACCATAGAGAATGTCTGTGACTACAGGAGAATAGGCAGATATGTAAAAGGGAAAGATCGACCTTTGAGGACCACCCTAAATGGTACCAAACAAATGGAAAAAGTATTAAGGAATGCTAGAAAATTACAAAGTGATGAGGATGGGAAAGTGTGGTCGTTAAGACGAGATCTTTCAAAAGAAGATAGAGAGAAGCTGAAACTGAACCTCGCTGAAGAAGAAATCAATTCTTTTTTCTACAAAGTGATAGGGGTAGGCAGGCCAGTAAAGTGGTACATAAAGGCAAACCAACAAAATCATTAGAGAGAGGGGGAGTGAAAAATAAGAAGAGGGGGAACAAGTTCCTGAAGATTGCATACACCAACATAGATGGAGTAAGATCGAAGATACTGGAGTTAAGTGATGTAATACAGCTGCAGACACCAGACATTGTTGCACTCACGGAGACAAAACTTGAAGATGTAATTTTAAATGAGGTCATATTCCCAAGGGGCTACTCAATTTGGAGACGGGACAGAAAAATTAGGAAAGGCGGTGGCGTTGCTGTGCTGGTGAAAGAACACCTAAAGGTGAACAAAATAATGACTGCCAATCCACAAGAAGTTGACATAATTGCACTAGAGATCTGCCATGAGGATGATAAACTAATGATCATAAATGCATACAGTCCACCGCCAAGCAGCACATGGTCAAAGGAGGAGCTAGATAGTAAACGAGAAGGTCTTATAACAATAATGAGAGAGATTATAGCAAGAGCGGATAACGATAGATCACGACTGTTGATAGTCGGCGACTTCAACTTGAAATCCATAGACTGGGAAGCATATGAAGCTAAAACAGAAGATTTCTGGACCTGTAAATTTGTAGACCTCATCCTGGAAACATTCTTGTATCAACATGTTAAACAAGCTACGAGGATGAGGGAAGGGGACGTTCCCTCCATGCTAGATTTGATATTTACCAGGAAGGAGGAAGAAATATTTGACATTCAGTACCTTCCTCCCTTGGGTAAAAGTGACCATGTCTTTTTGGGAATAAAGTATGCAATGGGTTATAAGCTGGAAGAAAATATGACGGTTGAAGCAGTTTAAAAACCTGACTTTAGGAGAGGACATTATGGCAACCTTAGAAATTTTTTTAGTGAGTATAATTGGACAGACTTGTTGCTAGGCAAGGAAGTGAATGAGATGTATGTCAAGTTTTGTGAAATATATGATAAAGGCACAAAAAAATTTATACCAAAACAGAGAAGCAGAACTAGGAAACAGGATTGGTTCAACAGAAAGTGCGAGAGGGCCAGAGACCAAAAGACACAAAAATGGAATCAATACAGGAAGAGGCCGAACCCCCAAACATACCAGCGATACAAAGATGCGAGAAACAACTACACGGCAGTGAGGAGAGAGGCAGAAAGAAATTTTGAAAAAGGGATTGCAGACAAATGTAAAACAGAACCAGGTCTATTCTATAAATTCATAAACAACAAATTGCAGGTAAAGGATAATATTCAGAGGTTGAAAATGGGAAATAGATTCACGGAAAATGAAAAGGAAATGTGTGAAACATTAAACGAAAAGTTCCAAAGTGTGTTTGTACAAAATGAAATCTTCAGGGAACCAGATACAATAAGAATTCCAGAGAACAACATAGAGCACATAGAGGTGTCCAGAGACGAAGTGGAAAAAATGCTCAAGGAGCTAAATAAGAACAAAGCAGTTGGTCCAGATGGAGTTTCACCATGGGTTCTGAGAGAATGTGCACCTGAGCTCAGCATTCCACTTCAATTGATTTTTCAGGCATCCCTGTGTACAGGAGTCGTAGCAGTCGTGTGGAAACAGGCTAACATAGTTCCAATCTACAAAAGTGGCAGCAGGGAAGGCCCCCTTAATTATAGACCTGTATCATTGACAAGTGTAATAGTCAAAATATTGGAAAAAATAATTAAAACTAAATGGGTAGAACACCTGGAGAGAAATGATATAATATCAGACAGACAGTATGGTTTTCGATCTGGAAGATCCTGTGTATCGAATTTACTCAGTTTCTATGATCGAGCCACAGAGATATTACAGGAAAGAGATGGTTGGGTTGACTGCATCTATCTGGACCTAAAAAAGGCTTTCGACAGAGTTCCACATAAGAGGTTGTTCTGGAAACTGGAAAATATTGGAGGGGTGACAGGTAAGCTTCTAACATGGATGAAAAATTTTCTGACTGATAGAAAAATGAGGGCAGTGATCAGAGGCAATGTATCGGACTGGAGAAATGTCACAAGTGGAGTACCACAGGGTTCAGTTCTTGCACCAGTGATGTTTATTGTCTACATAAATGATCTACCAGTTGGTATACAGAATTATATGAACATGTTTGCTGATGATGCTAAGATAATAGGAAGGATAAGAAACTTAGATGATTGTCATGCCCTTCAAGATGACCTGGACAAAATAAGTATATGGAGCACCACTTGGCAAATGGAATTTAATGTTAATAAATGCCATGTTATGGAATGTGGAATAGGAGAACATAGACCCCACACAACCTATATATTATGTGAGAAATCTTTAAAGAATTCTGATAAAGAAAGAGATCTAGGGGTGGTTCTAGATAGAAAACTATCACCTGAGGACCACATAAAGAATATTGTGCAAGGAGCCTATGCTATGCTTTCTAACTTCAGAATTGCTTTTAAATACATGGATGGCGATATACTAAAGAAATTGTTCACGACTTTTGTTAGGCCAAAGCTAGAATATGCAGCAGTTGTGTGGTGCCCATATCTTAAGAAGCACATCAACAAACTGGAAAAGGTGCAAAGACATGCTACTAAGTGGCTCCCAGAACTGAAGGGCAAGAGCTACGAGGAGAGGTTAGAAGCATTAAATATGCCAAAACTAGAAGACAGAAGAAAAAGAGGTGATATGATCACTACATACAAAATAGTAACAGGAATTGATAAAATCGACAGGGAAGACTTCCTGAGACCTGGAATTTCAAGAACAAGAGGTTAACCCTTAAAGTGCGCATCACTTCATATGAAGTGTAAATCGTTTTACCAGTCAACTGCGCTTCACTTCATATGAAGTGTATGGGTACCGCGCACGATTTGAATGGCCCGCGGTGTAGCTGGGGGTCCCATACGCTGCCCAGGGGCTCTAGTAAACAGCGGCCATTTTGAAAAAAATTCCAGCTCACGATCCGAAGGCATGGGAGGCCTCAGTTTAGCGAGAGTCACCATGGCGAGCGCACGGTCAAACGCCTCACGGGCACGCACCACTCAGTCCCTCACCCCAGAGCAAATAGCCC